ACGGATTGAGGGCGGGGCCTTTTCAACATGTGGGTCTCGCCTTGGCGCCGCGCAGGTTCGTTTCAAACTTCGCAAAAATTTCACATATTGAAAGCGAACCGTTTTCAAACTGTGGCTCTCACCTGAACGCCGTGCACATTCTTTTTAAACATGTGCACGAGCTTCACGGATTGAAGGCGGGTCGTTTTCAACCTGTGGCTCTCGCATTAGCGCCGCGCACATTCGGTTTCAAATTTTGCAAGAGTTTCACGGGTTCCCATGATCAGCGTACCAGAAACGGTGTTTTGGGCGGGTTCAGGACTATGCGGGCGCAACAGTTATGTTAATTCGCGATGTTGACATTCTGAAGATGACGTTCTGGCACGGCTCCAGGTCGTCAAGACGCAGCAGTCTGGTTGTTACGTGGCGTTGAAATCCCGAACACAATGTTTTGGCACGCTCCAGCATCTTCAAACGGTTGTCTGCCAACGAGGCAATTCCCTCAATGGAAGTGAACCGCTGTAAGGGCCTATGAAGAGGAGCTTGGAGGGAGGGTTGCTTCCAACATCGTTGATGACTCTAGGGCTTACGCTGGTCCTCCTCCTCCTCCTCCTCCTCCTCCTCCTCTTCCTCCTCCCCCTGCTCCTCCTCCTCCTCCGCCTCCTCCTCCTCCTCCTCCATTCCTTGTCCTTTCTATGTATATATATATAACTTCTCCCTGTCGCACCCCGAGGCCAGTTTTTAGAGCGGGCCGGGCGTTTCGCTCGAGACCTCCCCACCATGTATAATCCTGAAGCTGAAAAAGTGGCAACAGCTTCGCAGATGGAGGCGGGTCGTCTTCAAATTGTGGCTCTCGCTTTAGCGCCGCGCACATTCGTTTTGAACATATGCAGGAACTTCACAGATTGAGGGTGGGTCGTTCTGAAAACGTGGCTCTCGCTTTAGCGCAACGCACATTTGTTTTCAACAGTTGCTGGAAACATTTCACGGATTGAGGGCGGGTCGTTTTCAACATGTGGGTCTCGCCTTGGCGCCGCGCGCGTTCGTTTTCAAACTTTGCAAAGAGTTTCACGACTTGAAAGCGGCTCGTTTTCAAAATGTGGCTCTCACCTAAACGCCGCGCGCATTCTTTTTAAACACGTGCACGAGCCTCACGGATTGAAGGCGGGTCGTTTTCACACTGTGGCTCTCGCATTAACACCGCGCACATTCGGTTTCAAATTTTGCAAGAGTTTCACGGGTTCCCATGATCAGCGTACCAGAAACGGTGTTTTGGGAGGGTTCAGGACTATGCGGGCGCAACAGTTATGCGAATTCGCGATGTTGACATCCTAAAGATGACGTTCTGGCACGGTTCCAGGTCGTCAAGACGCAGATGTCTGTATGATACGTGGCGTTGAAATCCCGAGAACAATGTTTGGGCACGCTCCAGCATCTTCAAGGTTGTCTTCCAACGAGGCGGTTCCCTCAATGGCAATGGACCGCTGTAAGGGCCTATGAAGAGGGAGCTTGGAGGGAGGGTTGCTTCCAACATCGTTGATGACTCTTGGGTTTACACTGGTCCTCCTCCTCCTCTTCCTCCTTCTCCTCGTCTTCCTCGCACGCAGCCTCCGAACTTTCGAATCCTCTGATTCGCCATTCTCTTCGCTCCCCACACATTATCCTCGTAAGCCGTCTCCTCCTCCTCCTCCTCCTCTTCCTTCTCCTCCTCCTCCTCCTCCTCTTGTTTCTCCTCGCGTCGTGAAACCATCCTCGCTTCCAAAGCTGCCACCCTCAACGATTTCCTGGGTCGGCGCTCGTGTTTCCAAAGATGGTGCCACCGTTTCCTGGGGTTTGCTCGTTTCCCTGGGTGGGTGTGTATCCGCCTTCTGAGGCCCCGTTGACGGCCTCGGGGGTCAGAACGGGGCGAATGGATTGAAACATCAGTCCGGTTTCCACAGCGCGGGGCTCCTCTTAGACCGTGTCTTGGGGGCTTGCGGGGTCGTCTTGGACGGAGTGAAGGCCAAATCGAATATGCTAAAGAGTGTGGATTCCCCCAGTGGAGAGACTCTCTTGTGGCCCTCTTGCATGTTTAGCGATCGTGGGGGCCTCTTAGGTCGTCTGCGACGCTTCGCGGGCTGTCAGAGACCCCTCCATGCCGTCGCGAACCGCCTCGACGGCCGTCTGATCGTCCTCGGGGTCGATTTTGATCCCCCTCGACCCCGCACCCCATGGGGCTCAAGTGGGTTGCGGTGTGTGTGTGTGTGTGTGTGTGTGCGTGTGTGTGTGTGTGTGTGCGTGTGTGTGTGTGTGCGTGTGTGCGGGGGGAGCTTTGAAAAGTGAAGGGCCTGAACGCCAACTATATGGTACATGATAGGAAAACACAATCGCATACCGCATAGTACGCATCAGTATGCCTCGCATCTCTCCACCTGCCTCGCGCCCTTCCCCCCGCCTGCCTCCCAGCCCTCCCCCCCTCACACTCCGCCGACCTTGTCGTCGGAGAGAACGCGTTTCACGGGCGCTTGCCTTGGGAACGTTCGGAGGCGCGTTTCGAACCTGGGGGTGAGGCCCCCCCCCAACACCCGGCGCCGTCGATCAAAACCAGGGGGACTCTCCTCCCCCCCAACCCCCCCCTCCCGAACCCCCCCCCCTCGGCGCCGGCGCCGGCGCTGGCGGCCGCCAGCAGCGCCGACGGCGGGGACGCAGCGACGATGACCAGAGGCAGCCCAAGGGAGGGGGGGGAGGGGGGTTGAACCCCCCCAACCTGGTGCCGGCGCCCGCGCTGGCGGCGGCCAGCAGCGCCGGCGCTGGCGCCGGCGACGGCGGGGACGCAGCGACGATTACCACCACTACCACCACCACCACTACCACCACCACCACTACCGCCTCAACCCACCACCACTACAGCCATCACCACCACCACAACCACCACCACCACCACCATCACCACCACAAAAACCCACCACCACTACCACCACCACCACCACCACCACCACAATCTACCGCACCACCACCACCACCGCCACAACAGCCACCACTACCAGCAGCAGACCCACTCACCACCACCACCACCACCACCACCACCACCACAACCACCACAGCACCACCACCACCGCCACCACCACAACCCACCACCACAACCACCACCACCACCACCACCACCACCACCACCACCTACCAAAACCACCACCACCACAACAAACCACCACCACAATACCACCACCACCACCACCACCAACCACCACCACCACCACCACACACCACCAACACAACAGACCACCACACAACCACCACCACAACCACTACCACCGCCACCACCACCACCACAACCCACCATCACCACCACCACCACCACCACCACCACCGTCGTCCTCGTCGACGCTCCCCACCGCCGCCGCCCGCCGCCACAGGCGCCGGCGCTGGCCCAGAAAAGGAAATCGTCGTCCCCGCCGCCGCCGACGCAAGCGCCGGCCCGAGGAGAGGGGAAGCAGGGAAGGGAGGGGGGGTGGGAGGTGCGGTTCCAGCCCCCCCCCCTCCAAGCGACCACAGAAGGCGCTCTTTCTGTCGTCGGCGTCGTCGAGGTCGTCGACGCTGTCCCCGCCATTTCCCTAGGCTCTCCTCCTCTGGTGCGCAAGCCCCCCTTTCCCAGGGTTTCTCCTCGACCGCGCCAGCCAAAGGGAAACGGAGAAACGTCGTTCTGGAGTCGACGGGAAGCCTCGTTCATTTGATCCCTTCTCCGCCAGCGAATGGGGAAGTGGCCCAGGGGGGGGTCTCCGATCAGAATACGCTCCCTCCCTATTACTTGTCGAAAGAGTTTCGGCCCCATTCAGCGCCGTTTTGGCAACTTACGTCCAAGACAGTCCAGGAGGGCCCTGAAACGGCCCAAGATCGCTCCAAGACGGCCGCGCTTCAAACCCCAAGACGCCCCAAGAGGACTCCAAGAGGACCTACAAGAGGCCCCCAAGAAGCCAGAATCAATACTTTCCCTTTTAGCTTTGTATGTGTTTCGCGTTCTCGCCTTTCCGGGCTTCCGACGCTCCCAGACCGCCCAGGAAGACTCCAAGATCGCCCCAATACGGCCCCAGAGGCCCCCTACGAGGGCCCTGAAGCGGCCCAAGACGGCCCCCAAGACGGCCCAAGAGATACCCAGTGTACTTAAGGACCACATCCCAGAAATAATTTCGAGCACCCAGAAAAGTATCGAAACAGTGTCGTACGAGTATCGCCTCCCAGAGTCCGACTCGTGAAAACCCTCAAGTTTCGGTATTTTGGATGGTGCTCGAAACTCTTTCTTGTGATCAAGGCTAAAGTAGCTTGGATCGTCGTAACCCTAGAGGGCCCTAAGAGGCTCCCAGGAATGGGAACACAAACCGAATTGTTTCGCCTTCCGCCCAAAGAGCCTACAAGAAGCCCCCAAGATGCACCCTATAGTCCCAAGAGAGCCCCAACAGACTACAGAAGGCCAAACAGGTCCTCGTCCTCGTCGTCGTCGTCGTCATCATCGTCCCCCTTCAGGGTCGGCGGCACCAGTCGTAAGGCGTTCGCTATACATGCGAATATGCCTCGCATCTCTCCCCCTGCGTCGCTCCCTTCCCGACATATGCCTCCAAACCGTCCGCCCCCTTACATGTCCCTCGTACCCTTCCGATCCTGGCCGGACCGAGTGTGGGCCCAGGATCGGTGCATCCGGGCCGAGCCAGGACCGGCGCAACACACGGACCCTTGTTGGCCCAGGATGGGCCTGGCCAGGATCGGTTCAACTAGGTGTAAAACTAGCTGGCACCATCCGAAACAAGGACGGACGGATCCAGGTGTCACGGCAGCACGCAATGCCTGGCGAGCGCATGGAGTGTCGCTCCGCACCGCGGGACGGGAAGCTGGGAACGGCTCGGACAGTTGATGCTCAGGGACCAGGACGTGGATGGCGTGTCGCGCCGAAGCGCGGTGGGCTAGAATCGAGTGCGCAACATGCAAACGATCCTGACCGTGGGCAGGTCGGGGGCACTGACCGAAGTAGACCCGTTGCCCATCCGGATGTCCTCCTGCTCTCGCGCTCGCCGCTCCTCAGCCCAGCGCCGCTGGTTCTCTGCCATAATGCGGTCGAATTCCTCTCTCGCCTGCTGCCGCTCGAACTCCGCCTGCCTCTCGCGCTGGCGCGCGAAATCGCCCAGGTCGTCCTCGAGAGGTGTCGCAAGAGGTCGAGCCCGATCACGCGAGCGGGGCACTGTTATGCTGTGCGAGATTGGGGCCACGAGGAGAGCGGGTGCGGGTTGAGGCACGCCTTCTTCATGGCTCTTGCGCGCACCGTTGCCGCATCTCGGCGCCCGTGCAAGAGACTCGGCCGCCTGCTCTCTGTGCGAAGATGGCTTGGCATACAAGCTTCTTCAATACCCAGGGACATACTAAACTCACCTAAAGACGCTCGGCAACACCCAGGGATGAATACGGTGAGGGCATTGCACAATGAACCTTCGGATAAGAATCCAGAGTCTGGATGCCCATGGAACTCCAACCGTGGAGTGGATTGGCCATGGATATTCCCGCTTCCCTCATCAGATAGGAAGTCCTCCAGGGCCTGAAACCTCCTGGGCACACGTCTTAACCAACGCCCCCACGCGTAGGGCGCCGCTTCGATACATCCCCAAAGCCCTCCGGGGGGGCAGAACAGCGGTGACAACTGCTCAGCACCAAAGAGAGGCGAGGTCCGTTGGACCCGTGTATATGTGTTTGTGTGCCGGCACTCCGCCATGCCTCGGGGCGCGTCGATCCCGGCCTCCCGCCCCACGGAGCGGGGCACAGCTCCATCCGCTCGACAAGCATAGCGTGTCGCTGGGGCTCCTAGACCCGCCCCTCCTTGTTTCGGAGGGCTCCAGGTAGTTATACACCTAGTTGCACCGATCCTGGCCAGGCCCATCCTGGGTCAACAAGGATCGGTATGGTGCGCCGATCTCCTCTCGGCTGGGGAAGCAGATGCACAGATCCTGGGCCCAGACTCGGTCTGGCCAGCATCGATGCATCAGGACACCACAGAGCCGTGTGACTGCGGCGACAGGTGCACCCAGGAGGAGGGAGGTTCCATTGGATGAGCTGATGACGTCATCCCGCTGTACCCCTCAGGGGGGGCAAAGACCCAGGAGGGGCGCACGCTAAAGGGGCTGCGTATGGCGCCATTCCGCTGTAGCCCCCGAGTGCGAAGAACACCACCAGAAGAGGCGACGCCCCATGGATGAGCGCGGCTCATCACCCCGTGGCCGCCTCCGCCTTGGAGGCAATTGCTTGCTCTCTGGAGCCATGTGGGGCCATGATCTCGGCCCCACCCCGCCCGCCCACACCTCATGAAGGGAAAAAAGGAATGTTTCCTTAACTGTCATTTTGAACAAGGGTATGGTTGCTCTCACCTCTCCTCCTCCTCCTCCTCCTCCTCCTCCTCCTCCTCCTCCTCCTCCTCCTCCTCCTCCTCCTCCTGCCTCCCCAAGTATCCCTTTCTCATTCCCCGCGTCTCATGCTTCTCGCATCGCTTCCTGTTTTCTCTCGACCTCCCCCCCCCTGGTGCTTCCAGGCGTGCAGCCGTTCCCGCTCTCCCGCGCCCCTCAAGGGCAATGGCGGGGCTGAAACCGCGCGCAGACGTGGCGGGAACTCGCCCCTCCTTGGTGCTGCCAGGCGCGCAATTGGTCGATGCGTTCCTGCCCGCCTGGGGGGGTCCACCGGGGCGGTGGGCCATGCCTGCAGTTCCAGGCCTCGCCCTTCCTGGGCGCTGCCAGGCGCGCGGCCGTCGGCGGTGCGGCCCTCGCCTCTCTTGGGCGCTGCCAGGCGTCCAGCGCTCGCAGTCGCTTTCCTGCCACCCCTTGGGGGGAGGCACATGGAAAGGTGAGCCACGCATGCGCTGTCAGATCGCTATCCGCCTGGGTGCGGCCAGGCTTGCAGCGCTTGTCGCTCTGCCGCGCCCGGACGGGGTCGTGCCATACAAGCAGTTCCGACGGGACCCCTCGCCCTTCCTGGATGCCGGCAGGCGTGCAGCTGTCGTCGCCGTTTTGCGCCCCACGGGGGTCCAGCGAAGCGGTGAGACACGCAGATTCGGAGAGCTCCAGTCTGTCCCGATCGGGCCCCGAGAAAGCCCCACGATGGGCCTGGATTCTCTGGACCCTATCCAATATGCCCCCGGGAAGCCGAAATCGCAAGTGCTAACTCACATAATCTTGAATTTCGATTAGTTGCATCACGGCCCCAGCAGGGCCCCCAAAGGCTCCAAGGACCTGCAAGTGCCCCAAGATTGCTCCACGAGGCGTTGGAGAGGCAGTCGGTCCTGTTTGAACTGATCCCCGCTCTGGTTTGACTGATGTGCCCCTTCTGTCTCTCATAACGTAAGGAACGCTTCTCCACTTCCCTCACCACGGCCACTCGCTCCGGAATCGCTCCCCTGATGAGCCAGTGGGGGTATTTTTTGATCGCGACCGCGAGCGGCCACCCGCGCGGCGTCGCGAGGTCGTGCGAAGAGCGTAAATCGGTGCAAGAACACAGCGCTGATGTCGCCGGCGAGACGCGGAGAAAGGACGGGGCCACTACGCAGAGGCTGCGTTTGAAAGACGAAAGCGGGGAAGCGACGCACCGCGGTACCGCGAGCGAAGCGGGAGAGAGCGAAGACGACGAAGAAAACGAAGAAGACGGGAAGACGACGAAAGGAGGGAAACAAAGAAACTCACGCGGCGCCGCTCAGAGGCGGAGGGCCGGGTCGGTCAACGTCAGGGACACGTCATCCTCCAGGTACGTGCGCAGCGAGTGAGACGACCGCGTGGTCTAAGCCGTCGTCAGCAGCCAGACGCCGAAGGCCATGAACCTGTCAGACCCGAGCGTCGAGGATCGCGAACATAAGCCAGCGGGCAGGAGACCCAGATGAAGGCCCGCGTCAGTGGAGAACGTGCCCGGGAAGCCCATGGAGGCGCCAGCCGCGGGCCGCAACGAGGTACGGTGAGCTGTCCATCCGGCCGTCCTCCAGGGCCGTCGCGGAACCGCAGGCGCATAGGGGACCTACCGGCCCGCGTGCCCCGGGGGGGCGCGGAGGGCCCGAGGCGCCCAGCTGAGGGGGGGCGGCTCACAGCCGCGGGAACTTCAGTTATCTTCGATGTCGTGGCGGCTAACAGCCGCTGAATGGTGGAGAATGCACAGCCGGGGTGCGGCGGACAGCCGCGGGATGTTCGGAAGAGGTTTCGCCTGAGACCAGCCAAGGCACATCTGGGGTGCGGCTAACAACCGCGGGTGGTAGGAAAAGGTTTCGCCTGAGACCTGCAGAGGCCAATCGGGGGTGCGGCTAACAGCCGCGGACAGGTAGGAGACGGTTCGCCTGAGACCAGCCGACGCTCTGGCTGGGTGCGGCTAACAGCCACAACAAAATGGGAAAGGGTTCCGCCTGGAGTTGCCGATGCACCAGCAGGGGGGGGGGGCTACCAGCCGCGGGAAGGTGGGGCGGTGCCGCCTGAGACCTGCCGAAGCACAGCTGGGGTGCGGCTAACAGCCGCGGGATGAAAGGGAATGGTCCTGCCTGAGACTCGCCGATGCTTCGCAAGGGCGCGGCTAACAGCCGCGGGATGGCCGGAAAAGGTTTCGCCTGAGGCCTGCCGATGCTCGGATGGGGTACGTTTGACAGACGCGGGTTGGTAGGAAAGGGATTCGCCTAAGACTTGACGATGCTCTGCTGGGGTGCGGCTAACAGCCGGGGCTATGAGTCAGCGGGGATATTTGTTTGATCGCGACCGCGAGCGGACACCCGCGCGGCGTCATAAAATCGCGCGGAAAAAGAGGAGCCGCTGCGCCGAGCCGGCTGCGCGGCACCGCGGGCGAAGCAGGAGGTCCGTGTACTTGCCGTAAGTAGGCGACAGATGAACTCAAAACCGATCGAGCCGACGGATGCCGAAGCCTCGCGTAAGGACAAGGTGACCGCAGAGCCCAAGAGTGGACAGCGGCAGCACGTGCCAGAGGAAGCTCGACAACGCCCTCACCGAAGACCAAGTAGCTGTACCCACGGCCGTCTCCAATGCCACCGCGAGGCCGACAGGGCGAGGGGGACCTACCGCCCCGCGTGCCCCGGGGGGAGCAAAGGGGTCGGAGGTGCCCGACGGAGAGGGGCAGCTGATAGCCGCCGGGGACTCGGTTAGCTTCAGGGGGAGGCGGCTGACAGCCGCAGGAACGTGGGTGCCCACGTCAGTACCGCCTGAGACCAGCCCAGCCAGTGGGGATAGTTTTTGGTCTGCGGGTCCGCGAAGCAGGTCGAAAGCCGTCCGAACACTAGTCGGGCCGCGACTAGGCAACAAAAAAAAAGAGGCAAGCGAAGCGAGCGCGCGGGCAGGCACTCAGAAGAAAAACCAGAAACGACACTCCCAACCCGGTGGCGTGGAGATCCCGGTGGGCCAGTGGGGGCACTTTTTTAGTGAGCGGCCGCGGGCGAGCGCGCCGGCGGCGAGTCAGGTCAAATCGGGCTACGCAGAGACTAATTAGGCAGGCCAGTGGGGATAAGCGAAGCGTCAAGAAGTCAACAACAAAACACAAGACTACTGGCCACTTGAGCCCCGCCGCCAGCCCCAACGGCGATCACAGATCGGGCGTAGCTCATAGAAACTGGCAGGGGGCTCGCCACCGATGGGCCGCGCCACGGGTTGGGTCACAGGTGGCACAGTCCACGCGGTGTGACATGCGCTGCGTAGTCTCCATGGGTTTCGGCATAAACGAGCCTCCGCGGAACAATCCACGATCGAGCGTTGCTGCGTGCGTCACCACATTTCACGCGGTCCGACTGTGTCATGAGGAGCTGCAGCGCGACTCGGACGTCCTGGAATGCAGCGTGCACTGCGGCGAGCAGCAAGGCTGTGAGCAGCTGGCCGTCGACGAGTAACGCAGCGTTCGGCAGCACAGTGGTAAGCAGCAACTGGAATCTGGCTTCCATGTTCCATTGCTTGGACGTGCAGGAGTGCAAGCTGCGCGGCTGTGAGCCACTCGGCGAATGGGAGCAGTCGCCACCACTATCTCCTCCGCCTCTTCTCCCTTCTCTACTCAGACCACAGGCCGTGGCTAGGTGTTTATGGGATTGGGGATTCGACGCCGCAAATAAATGACGGCCGCGCTGCAAAATAAAGCGCAACCGCAATATTGCAGCAAGCGGGCCACCCGAGTCACAAAACATGCTCACCTCATGGAGGCGCACCTCTTGCCTGTGCTGGCACTCCGTCGGCGCCCGCGGGCGGAGCCACCCGTCCCATGGGCCGCTCGAGGTGTCCGTGCCGAAGGGTGCCCCCAGATCTCTCCTGTCGCCTCGCCGTTCGTTCTCCCCTCTGTGCTCGTGTCCTCGTCGTCGTCGTCGTTCTCCGAATCGTGTGAGCTGGCGCAGGGTTATCCCTGAGCAGACGCCCGCCTGCGCAGCGGATTTGACTTCCGTCAGTGGGGAAGCCAGCAATTTCGCTATCTTTCGGAGCCCCTGGGGCCCTCTGGGCCTCATGAGGGGTGCTCCAGAGTCGCACGCAAGAGTGACCCTGTGCAGGAGTGACCTCTGGTGCGCGTCTTCAGGAGGCCGGTGGGGGGGGGCAATGCCGGGGGGGTGCATGTTGGCCCGCAGCAAAGGGCACTCCACCGGTGGGAGCCTCCTTGGATATCCTGGGGATACCCTGGGTCAGGGACTCCTCTCTGGCAAGCACATGGCCCTCCTTCTGCCTCCGCACGCCTCCGCGGGGCGCCGCCCTCCGCCGAAGAAGAGGCGCCAGCTCCTTGCCGATCCCTCGGAGGCGGGGCCACTCTCTTGGAACCCCCCCGTGGTGTCCTCGCCGCCCTCGGCGTAGGATCCCCAGCGCGGGGGCCTCGCCTGGACCCAGATCATTGGATACCGGATGATTTCGGTCGCGATCGGTAGCAACCGATCGGCACCCCAAATCGGTCGCGACCGATCGCGACCGATACCAGAAGCAACCGATAGCGATCGACCTCGTCGGTCGCGACAGAAAGCTCGGGCATCCAATGATCAGGGAGGGGGGATCAGCGCCGACCCAAGAGTAGGACGACAACAACCATACACCGACGAAGATTTTGGCTGGGCCGATCCTGGGCCGAGGATCGGTGTAGACCCCTGGGCCCGAAATTATGTCTACTTGTCGTTGTCCGAAGGAGATCCGCACGGAGCCCCGACTATTTCTGCCTGCGCCGTTGGTGAGGCTTCGGGTTGCGCATAGACAGGCTCCCCCCAGGGTAATTCCAGGTAGCCTCAACACTCAACAGTCAACAGGCCCCCCGAGTAAATCCAGCTGGCACGGGGCGGTCTCAACACCTCAACCCTCGCCGCAGGAAATTGAGCCCGCCCTGGGCGCGGGTGGTCCGGGGGATACCTGTAGCCCGGGGTCCGGGGGGGAGCGGCACTGGGGGTCTGAATAGCCTGGGGGTGGTCATACCAATAGTCCAGGGGGGGGGGGCGTACCAATGATCCCGGGCAGTCTGGAGGGGACCTGTGGAGGCCGGCCGGGGCTACACCTGGAGCTGCCTGCGCACAACCCGGAGCCTTGCCGACTGCGCCGTTTCATGTGACCTGGTCGCCCTGGCCGAGGGGCTGGCATACGGCTCCGGGCCCGGGGCGCCTCTGCCCAGGCCCTCCGCGAGCGGCGGCCTGCCGGTCCGTGCGCGCAGCTCCTCCCGCGCGAGCTTCGCCGCGGTGGCGTCGAGGCCGTCGAGCTCTGCCTGGCGGATCACCTCCGGGTCGGACGGCAGCATCGGAACAGACCCAAATCTCCGACGATATGATTTTGGAAATCTGGGTGTTTTTCTGCGATTGGGGCCTGTCATTGGGGCCGTCAAACATGGGTGTGGGTCGCAGGGATGGGTTTTCTCCATTTCGGCCTCCGCCCCAGATCGGTGGGGCCTGGACGAAAAACTGCCCCCAGGGGGGCTGCACTTCCAGTCGCCGAAAGCATCCATGAACTTGCAAGCGCCTCAGAGGGGGCCTCGGAGCTGGAAGCTTGGGGAGGCCAGTCGTGCGAATGGAAGCTATCGGATTACCTTCTTGAGGCTTCGTGGGTCATCGGGTTTTGCCCTGTTGGGTTGCCCCTTGGGTTGCCGGCAATGAGAGGCCGCAATGCTGTGGAAGCTCGACAGAACCATCCTGTTGGAGCTCCTGCGAGCCCCTCCGCCCAACCCCATGTGAAAACGCCCGACGTCGTCTCTGGAGGATTTGGGCGAGCTGCCAGCAACGGGACAGCTTAATCATAAAAGCCTCGGCGTGCAAAGACGGTACAGCCGCCGCGCGTGCTGTGTACTCAACAGAGCGGTCTGGTGTCCCTGCGGGAGGGGGATAGAACAGGGAACCCAAAAGGACGAACGCGCCAAGCCACGTACATGAATATGCCCCTCCAGTTCGCAAGGCCGCACTCATGCCACGAGCGCTTAAACACTGCGATCTCTCGAAGCCCAGATGGATCCATGTTCTATACAAACGTGTTTGCTACGCTGCCCAGGGGAAGGAGGGAGATGCTACGAAGGAAGGTGGATAAGGTGGGGAATGAGGGTGAGGGAGAGATGACAGGGAGGATGAAGGTCGGGAGCACGAGCGTGAACATGATCTCTGGGCGCGCCCCGACTTCTGCTCCACTGCCGCACGGTACTACAATTCACAGCAACCTGGGATCGGGTACTCCTGCGAGGATGGGAGGAGGAATGTATTTGCCGTCGTGGTTAATGGCAATGACCTCCAGAGGAGCAGAGAAGCTTGGCATAAGAGTGGTCCCGAACATGTCATAGCGGATCTGGATCCCTGGAAGCGATCGTGTTCTGCGAAACCAGACAATCAGTATATAGCTGTGTACATTGAAAGATGAGGCGGCGGAGGTGCCAGAGGGTGAGCAGGAGGACAAGGAGGACGATGAGGCAGGAGGAGGACGAGAAGGAACAGCTGATGTAGGAGGAGCGGGAGGAGCAAGAGGACTAGGGGAAGGCGGGGGGGTGGAACGGGACGGGGCGACAGCGAAAAGGAAGCACTCGGATCCAGAAGTGCGGCCCGCACAGAGGCGAGAGCGTCATTCTTGATGACGGGAACAAGGCAGCATGTTGAAACCCCGTAAACGCTTCGATTGAAATAAGCTGTGCGAACGGAAACCAGCCTTTGACACCTGGGTGCATCAAAACAATAAGCGGAGAGGGCGGGAGACTTCGACGACGCTGCCAGGGGAGAGAGGAGAGTATTTAGCACTCGTTTCGGGGAATGGTGACGTGAAAAAACAATTATCGTGCTGGGAGGAAGGGTTTGAGAAAATACATGGCACGACTGTGTAATCCAGAAGCCGCATGGAAATGATCATTTGTTTTTTGGCCCCCCCTCTGTCACAGAGGGGGTCTAAGATGCCCCCCCTCTGTCACAGAGGGGGTCTAAGATGCCCCCCCTCTGTCACGGAGGACCTCGTTCTGGGTGCTCTTCTGCCACGGGAGCTCCCGATACGATTGGAGACGATAAAATGCGATGGCGGGATGGGGGATTGGAGGGGGAGGGAGAAGAAAACGATGAAGGAGAGGAGGCAACGACAGCACCGATGAAAGCACCGTTTCTGTTTTCATCTCCGCTCGGGCAGCGGTCGCCGAGCACGACGGCGCGCGCGAGTCGCCGCCGCTCACGATGCATTGGCAAGGCCTCCGCTGCTGCGGAGGGTCGACGTTCGGCCGATGAGGCCTCCCTCCGCTGCTGCGGAGGGGCGGCTCCTGTGCGATGGTTCAGCTAAGTTCTTCCCAGGGATTGGTCTCGGGGGGGTGTTCGACCCACCTCCAATTCGTGGCCTCCCAGTGCCCCTGGCCGCTACTCCACCCACTGTGGCTGCTCCACCAGTCACTGGGGCGTTGGTCGCTGCCGAATGCAACTTGCATGTCGCGCCAAGCGGAGTCGACCCTGCGGTCCTGCAGCGAGGAAGCCTCGCCGCTCGGCTGTTGCCACTCGCGCTCCTCGCCCTCACTGGTGCGCCACCACTCATCCCTGCGCCACTCCCCGTCTGTTGGTTGCTGCCATGGCGTCTGCGGCCTCCGCTGCTGCGGGGGCTCTGGCGGCTCGTGGCCGAGGGCAGCGATCGCGTCCCAGATGTAGCTGGCGGCGCCGCGCTGCCCTCGCTGCTCCAGCGGCGCAGGCCCTGGAGATGGCCACTGCGGGGTCGGCTGCCACCTTGGGGGTGATAAGTAACTATTTCTATAAGTATCCCCTCCCTGTCAACTCCCGCCCCTTCCCGACACTCATTTCCTTATGTCATCCCTCGTCCTGCTCAGCCTATTCCTCATTCCCTCTCCTCCCCCCTGCCCTCCCCGTGCTCCACCCTCCCTCTCCCTCCCTCCCCCTTTCAACCCCCCGCCGCGACCTTCCATCGCCAGCCGCGGGCCAGTCGCGGCCGTCGTCCGCGTTTTCGTCTGCCCATCTTGGTGGGCGCCACGCCTGTTGGGCGCGCTCGTCTTGCTCGCCCCTCTCGCGGTGCTGCTCTGGTGCCTGGCGCTCGGGCCCGTGCTGCTCGGGCGCCGCTGCTGCGGCGCCCTGGAGCCCAGCTGCTTGCTGTTTCTGGGCGCGCCTGTCCTTCTTCTCTTTGTTTCTCTCCTGCTTCCTCCCCTGCGAACGCGAGCTGACCATGCGCATTTGGAACAGGAGAGGGTAGTGGGCGCCGCCGTGCCAGCGCCCCTCCACCTCCACGGTCTCCGGCGGGAACGTCTTCTGCAACGCGCGGAAGAGGGCCACCTCGCGATTATTAGAGAAGCGGCGGTCCCCTCTAGCCTCAGCCTCGGCGCGCCTCAGTTTCTCACGCTCCTTCTCTTGGATCTTGCGTTGGCATTCCTCTGAATCCTGGAGGTGCTCGCGGGCGTCTTTTTTCGGGTAGTAGCGATCGTAAGGCATCCCAGGGCCTCCGTCCTGGCAGTGGTGCCAGTGCGTCGGCTCCGATAATGGGCTGGTGGAGGCCCCCGCTGCTGCGGGGGCCTCTGCCTTGCTTCTGTTACGGTGCCCGATCTCACCGATCACCGACTTGCGTGCGAAGAGCAACCCCGTCTCGTCTCTGTCGTGCACGGCGCTCAGCGGCCAGCACAGGGTGTACTCGCCAGGCCTGTTGAGAACGAAGATGCCGCAGCTGTCCAAGCACGGAGTGCCGTCCAATCCGCGCCAGAAGTACGCTGCTGCCGTCTCCAATCGCATGCCTAGACCCCGAAGACTCGGCAGCGTCTGTGTGAGCGCCATGTTGAAATCCCCACAAAGGATGTCAACGTTGTTGTCCTGCAAGATGGCCGCCAGCCTCCGCCACCACGTCTTGTGAGCCTCCTTAAAGCCTTTGGAACCTTTCGCCGTGTCGCGGTGGAGGTGCACCGCGCACACCCGCACTTTCGAGCCGAAGTGGGCGTAGGTTTGATCGAAGTAGACCTCAACCACCATGATCCTCGAGAACGCTTCCATCTTGTTCCCTTTTGCAGTTTTGTAGTGGCCGTCGACACTCCTTTCCCAGTGGAGCAGCCGCATTGCGTAACACAGATTTGCGCGCGCAGCGATGCACAAGGACTTGTCCTCACGCCCGCGCAGGGTCAAGTATTCGTACTCTGGTCGATTCTGGAGCTGTTGGCAATCGCCAAAACTCGCAGCACGACTTCCTCTTGCTGTCGCCATCGCTGCTGCGGGGGCGACAAAAGGCCCACCGCTGCTGCTGCTTTGGCCCTCCGCTGCTGACGCCCCCGCTGCTGCGGGGGCGTCCGCCTGCAGCGGCGGTGGTTTCCCTGGCCGCTGTAGGATTGCCTCCATCTGCTCCTCACATTCCGCAGAGCACGCCACGAGAGCAGGGCAATGCCGCAGCTGCAACTCAAGTCTCCGCCGCTGGTCCGCGTGGTTGGTCT